TGCTATTATATATGTATTTTAAGTAATTTTAAAGGCTATTGTTCACTTACATCTATTTTTATTACCACAAAAAAATTTATTATAATTGTAGGGCCCTATGAAATCCGTTTTATTTCCAAATTAATTTTTTTTGCATTTTCATTTTTCTATACTCTGTTTTAATGGTTAAATTAAATTTTATTAATCAAAAAGCCTGTCTAATTAATTGAGTTTTACAGTTTTATCTTTACCAAATTCTGTTTTCCATTATTTTCTGGATTCCATTTTAATGGTTCCATTAAATTTTAATAATCAAAAGCATCTCCAATTAATTGATTTTATTTATAAAAAAAAAAAAAAAAAAGTATTTTTTTTTCAGAAATACTGCTCATTTACATTTTTCTCCTAAATAAATTCTGGTAAATAATATTTCTGGTAAATACTTTGGTAAATATTTTTGATTATAATTGTATTATTAGTAGACTAGAACACGTGGATATGTTGTCATTCTTACACTATAATACTGAACTTTGATTTCAGTGATTTGGACTATGAGATGGACACTTGCTTCTTGCACTCTATGTTGCAATTTACTTTTGCTTTAAAAAAAGGATTTCATAGAAATTTGGATTTCATTTGGTTTAATAAAATATTCGTAAGTAAAATTGTTGATTTTTTTGTGGGAAATTAATCGTTTAGATCAATCGATTAATTAGTCGATAGATTAATCGTAATAAATCATAATTAAGCATAATTGTGAATTCACAAACGCTACGATTTAATTAAATAATTATATGCGATGCAGTTCTAATACAGTATATGCGCTTTAATTATTTACATGCGTGTAGGTTAAGTACGTGCGTCACACAACGGCTTCGTTCACAGTAGTTCCACAGGAACTGTTATCATTTACACGTGTGAAGCGTCTCAAACTCCATCTCTGCATGTTGTTGTGAGTTTGGGTTTATTATACCATTCATCTGGGAACGCAGCGTGCGCCATTTCATCAGTTTTGTAAGGTAAATGATTTATAAATCCACGCAAACACAGGAGAATACATCATTATCTCGCGTGAAAGAAATGGTGCTTTGTCAATATTAAACAAGTATTAGATCGCACAGTAATGTGTAAAAACAATCGTCAGGCTGTTAGCGCCCTCTGCAGGCCTTTGTTGTAATGCGTAATGTACATTAAGCTCTATTGTTTATAATACATTATGTATTTTAACAGTTTTGCTCAATAAAACCATATGATTTCTTGCTTTTGATGCTTTATTTGAACTAATTATTATTGCCTCATTGCTATTATATATGTATTTTAAGTAATTTTAAAGGCTATTGTTCACTTACATCTATTTTTATTACCACAAAAAAATGTATTATAATTATAGGGC